GGATGCTATTTCCACCCTGGAAAAATCTGGTGTATACTCCGTTCCCCTGCAGAATCCAATATCAGGACTATGCACCAATTATATAGGAGCGACTACGAGAATGCTGGCTGCTCGCATATCTGAACACCAACGTTCGGTGGCACTTGGCAATTGTGACACGGAACTTTCCAAATTGGTGATACAACACCACCACGTAGCGCTTTGGAATCGAGTGGAAATACTCAAACGCTGTGATGAAGGGAACTTGATATACATTTGGGAGGCCCTCCTCACAAAACTGCTCTCCCCGTGCAACACCCCTACCCTCGATTTACCGGACGTCTGGATTAATTTATTCAGGCGGTTAAAAAACCAACAATAATTTTGCATTCTCTTCCCGCACCTCCTACATGATTCAAAGCACATACATGTCGGCCCCTTTATGTGCGTCTTTTTACGTGTGTTATGTATTTTAAATTATGTCCCGCGCTTTAATATTTAAAATTTAAATTTTAACATAAACTTGCACTTGTGGATCTATTCCGATCGGTTTCTATGCTGTCTATGTTAAGGCGCATGCGTGCCAAAAATTTTATACGTATTTACAAAGTGTTTTAATTTAAATTCTAAAAATTTAATTGTTCTTAATAGACATCTAATTGGCTCTCATGTTATGCATGTTAAGGTGCACGTGCGCCAATTTTTCGCGTTCACATAATAATTAATAGCCACTCCAATCGATGTTTATTTGTTTTAAAACGCATGCGCACCAATTTTAAATGTTTAATTCTAAATATTTAAATTTAAAATCTCTTTTTTGTATGTTCAAAAACGGCTAGTATCGTTAATGTTTTAAATTTAAATGTATGGTTCGAATTCTTTATTCGAATTTAATTTTACCTGAAGACGACGTGCTTATTTACGTCGAAAGCGCTCGTAAATTAAAAATAATTTCAAGTATATTTAACGCCTCATAGACTGACGTTCTTGGAAGTTTTGATTGACATCTTTGTTTAAATTTCTACACTTGTAGAACAGGTAAAAATTCCAGAATTGTGACCCATAACTTCTCATATACTGGCCTATCAACCTCTAATATAATTAATCACCTGTTAGATGTCCTAAATACTGGGCAAATTTGGAACTTTAGGTGATTTTCCTACAAACTTGAAAAAAATGAGTTAACACATTCTTGTCTCAAGGTCTTCAATTTAATTAGTGCAAATACAAATTTCACTTAATTTTGTTTTAATGTAAATTTACATGTAACCATCATGTAATAATATTTCCTTAAATTAATTCAACTGAATTATTATATCCATCAATGCCCATATATAGAAATAAACCTGCAATTTCAAAATTTTTGATTCATCCAATCCTGAGATATAATACATAATAGATGCCAACTAATACTTTATAAGAGTTTTTTAAGCATTTTTGGGCTCCTGGAATATTAAAATATTGAGAAGTATTTTTAAAAATATGATCGAAACTTAACTAATCACCATACTTTCTATATATTATATTCTATAATAGTCAGGAAAGTAAAATTAATCTCAAAAAACATAATTATGTATTTATTGTAAGTTCTGTTCATCTTTCAATGATCATGTATTTGAAAAAACTCTGCATAATTCAAATTATACTTTTTAAATTCTACATTTTTTTATAGCATTTTATCCAAAAAAAAAAAAATGCTGAATGTATACATCCTACAACTTTTATATATTAAATTAAAAGTTATGTCATAAAAACATTAAATTTTTAAAGATCTCTTAGGCAAATGCAAACAAATGAAAATATCAGATTTTATGAAAAAAGTAGAGAAAAATCATGATGTTACTGATACTTCAATTTAAGATCAACAGTAAAAATTAGATGATATTCTGCCAAAAACAAAAAATCCTTATTTAATGGCGTTTAGCAGCGAAGAAAAAATTAATATTAACGCACAATACTTTTGATTGTGATTGTTAGTTAATTAACAATTGCTTTCATAAACACATTTCTCTTAATTATGATAAAGAATAGTATACTTTTGCTAACTTTTTGAACCTAACTATGTTTTGTACTGTTTGTTTGGAATAGCACATATTCACATAACACAGCACTTTTTCACTGCACAACTACCGTGTTATGTGGAGGATATCTGTATTTAATTAAGAAAAATAACAACTTACACAACTGAATTCTTCACTACACACATTTATTATATAAGAATAATTTCCATTTGTGTCCGATTCCACAGAACATCCCCCTAATGGAATTACTCCCTACAAATATAAAGAAATTATATATGTGTGTGTAAATATTTAAATAAAATTTTTTTATAATTTAATTAAATTTAATAAATGTAACTATCAATAAAATTACCTTCGGATGTAAATTAAAAGTTCCTCTTTTTTCAAAAGCTTTCTTTTCATTTTCTGGATAATACAATAAAAAACCATCTTTGATGACAAAAAACCTACCAGATAAATAAAATGCATTAATAAGATATCAATTTCTATTAAATTGTAGAATATCGTCAGATGACAATTAAATTTAAAAATTAAATTGAGGACCTACTCTGTTGAAAATGGAATCATCATTTATTCAGTTTAATGTTCCAGAACACAAACTTTTGACAACAGACCTTTCTCTAAGACATCAAAATTAAAACTTCCCTTAAAACAAAGAAAAAAATGTCTAATTAAAAACACAGGTTATAAAATCAGAACTGGTAATGCCACAGATGTCTTCTTTCCTTCCATCCTTACCGCTTGGGAATGGTAGAGCTTTATATCTATTAGAAGCAAGCATTGGTAAATTTAGATTTTCAACTGCTCCGGAGACAAAACTTTGCAGAATAATTTGCTGAATAAATGGTGATTCCATTTTCAACAGACTGTGCCATCAATTTAATTTTTAAAGATAAAACATTTAGTTAAATGTTAAATATTTTAAAAATTTACAGTACTTTTTTTTATAAATCTGAAGAAATTACAATGCAAGATTATTTTAATTAAAAATATCTTAAGCATAATATTGAAGGAAGAATCAATATGTAAATAAAAGAAGTTAGTTATTCAAATAGTTCAACAGGATAACAAAATTCTTGGAATAACCTGTTAAGAATTAAGATTTAAAAAGATGAATATGATGGGTGCGTTTACTTTTAGTTCCGATCTCTCCTCTAGCACGCTCAGTCTGTATACTTTTTGTTAGCTACCAATGAGCACTGTGTTTACTTTTTGCATCCGTGACGTCATTGCTAGCATTCCTAGTGCGCTCGGAGTGCTTGGAGAATTTACAACGAGCTTGGAGTTTGTTCAAAGATGGTGGTGTTCATTACTGTGTATACTTTTACCAGCATGCTAGTATGACGTCAGGCTGCGCTAGGTGTCAGCTCGGCGACCTTGGAAGCAAGCAAAAAGTAAACGCACCCTATGTTAAATTTATAATTACAACATGAGAATATTTAAACTTATTCACAAGTTGGGTCTTAATAAAATATTTTATTTTGCATTATATTATATTAGTTAAAAATCTTTTGATATTTGTAAATATTCAAAGCAATTTAAATTAATTACTAAAATTTTATGAAACTTCTCAAATTTTTACTCAAAATACTAATTAACAATAAAATAACATGTATTCTAGAATTTGTATTTTGTATTAGTTCGATCTTTGGAACCCGAAGACTGTTGTTCACAGTCAAAAACATTGGCTCAAATGTAATGTTTTAACGGTTCAAAGGTTGCTCTTTGTAATTTAATAAAGTAACAGTTTCATTTTAGACAATCAAACACATTTTACATAAAATGTTTTCAATCCATTAAAAGTATTTGTCAAATTTTGAAACAAAACAGTCATTCGATTGAAACTCTATTATTATTTATGTAATAACTAGGACTTCTTTCACAAACAAAACATTATGAAATTAATTATTCCCAGAATAAACTTAACAGTTCCCTTAAGAAGTTTAGTGTAAACAAATAATAAAAAAATTAACATTTGATTCCAAATATATATATTTTTGTCTAAAGAAAAACTAAAATTCAAATAAATATGTAATTTATATAAATCTGATAGTTATGCATATACATTACAATCAGACAGAGAAAATAAATTATGTTTGACAGCAAATTATATTATTCCAAATAAAGCAGATGTAAAATAGGAAACAGTCTATTAAGTTAGTAGATGATTTAATTTATGATGGTGTCAATTAATTTTTTCATATATACACAGCTGTTAATTATAATAGACGTAACATTTAACATAGAAAATGAATGAAATACCTTTCAGAACATCTGCATATCAAACATTAAATGATTTATTAGAATGTTTGGATCTATTTTATTCAAATTACCAGTGGCACAAAATAAATTTCACATAAAATTATTTTCAAAACTATTAAATACATACTAAACAATAATCAAAACCTACAGAACAACAAAAAAAATGACTGAAACAAAGAATTTTTCTTTGTAAAAAAGTTGTATTTATATTTATTATATTAAAACCTACAGAATTTTAGTCTATTCTTATACAGGCATACCTCGACTTACGTCATTTCGAGTTACGTCGTTCCCGATTATACGTCGTTTGTCAAAAAAGTATGTGGAAAAATAAAAATCAAGTTTAAGTCATTTTATTCGACTTTACGTCTTCCGCCACAAATATTGAAATCGTAATATCACTAGAAAAACGTTTAAAGCACATAAAATCATATTAAAATATATACAAGTATGTACTGTATTTACAGTACATGCATTCGTAAATTTAGATTACTTTTTTTCCGTACTATATTAAAAACTAAAATTTATTTGTTTGTAAGCTTAGATTTTTATTAACGATATATTATTAAAAATGCATTAATAAATAAAATACAGAACCGGGAATGGTAATTTACGGTTTAGCCTAGTGATAAGTAGATTCGGAGACAAGTAAATTCGACTTACGTCGTTCTCCTGGAACCAATTACCGACGTAAGGCAAGGTATACCTGTATTACTAAATTAATTAAATGAACTTCTCACAAAGATAGATAATGTCACCATCTTGTAATCATTTTAAAAATAAAATCATTTACAGATGTTTAGAGATATTGTAAACTTGAATCTCACTCTAAATAATAAAAGTTGAAAAATTTTTTTACTCATGAAAGTTATTACAAAAATTCTGTATAACTGTCTACCATTAACATCAAAATTAATAATTTTCTGAAAAGTAACAAAAGTTTTTGATTACTTTCAGCTAAAATTAACCAAATTTCTGGTATGTATCTATATATAATTTGTTAAATTAATTATTTAGATATATTTTAAAACAAGGAACAGTTTAAATTATTTTCAACTAATCTAAGAAATATTACTAATTTTTAATGAGAATTTCCTGCTCAAAATCAAGTACTCTCTTTTTATAAATACTATATATTTTACATATATAAAAATTATTTATCGTCAATTGATTACGTACGTAGTCAAATTGCAAAAATATGCGTACGTGGTAATAATACGATCGCAACAAAATAAGTTAACTTATGTATCTAGAACTGGATCGGTCAAATATAAACAGTACATGTCGAGTCATTCGATTACATTAAGGTAAATAAATGGGACAATTCAGAAGAGATTCGGTCACGAATACAGAAATAATATTAATATTCTACATCTTTCGTTCAAAACACGCAAAGTTTTAAAGTCAAATTCCGTCTCAAACCGTAACATTTTAATTTAATAATTCTCCCACAGACGAATGCCAAACGACTGCCAGATTATTTTAATGCCACTACCTGCATCCCGAGACGATGTTTATATCAAAATAAAAATATTTGCCTAATTATACAGTATTTACAATGTTTTATAATAAATGGTAGCAATGTACAATTTAACTTAAGAATTAAATAACATGCAAATAAGATGCAATACACAATGCTCGTGAGCAAACAACAAAAGAAAAATATCTATTAAAAATAAAAAACAAAATACTTCCTTTATTAAAAAAAATATCTATAAAGGAATATTTTAGTAAATTTATGTAAAAATAGTTAAATGTTATTTTTAGTAACTTATTAATAAAAATTGATATTACGAGTATTAAGGGGACCAGAGCGACGGCACGGGGCAAGAAACATTTCTCGCTGTTGGGTTTCAAAAGAACGTAAAAATAAAGTATACCCATCACGTACGTTATTCATTTCTACTCTTAATTTTAGTAGTACGACATAAGATAAAAATACGCAGGTAGGGAGACAATTTGCCAATACAAAAATACGGGGCAAAAACCGCCTCCCGTATCTCGGAGATCGACATCCACGGAATCTATTCACGCTCGGGATCCAAAATTCTAGACGACAGAATAAGGATGCCAAATAAAATTCCACAGAATAATCTGTTCAAATTCCCCAAACTACAAACCAATTATTCATAACTTACGTCAGCAGAAAATACTTTAAAATTAGTCATTATTATTATTATTATTATTATTTTTAATAATTAAAGTTATTTCAGTCACCTCAACAATGCGAGACCGATGTACTGTAATTAAAGTAGATTGTGGAGAAGCACAGGCTGATTCTGTAAGACCTAACACTGCTTTTTCATTGTTAACATATTTTCGAAAAAGTACAACTCTCTGAAAAACATTGATAAAAATTAATTTTAAGAAATACATTATTTTTGAGNCTTTGCAGAATAATTTGCTGAATAAATGGTGATTCCATTTTCAACAGACTGTGCCATCAATTTAATTTTTAAAGATAAAACATTTAGTTAAATGTTAAATATTTCTATCTTTAAAGATAAAAACCAATATAATTGCATTTACAGTATTTCTAATCATTTAAATTATAACAAAATACTTTAAAATTAGTCATTATTATTATTATTATTATTATTTTTAATAATTCCAATAACTTTCGGTACGCGTTCATATAATATGACCCGAAAATAATTCGAATCCATCCAGGACAACTTCCAAATTTTTAACATTAAAAGATCATCCTGTAAATTTTTCATCTTAACACACGCATAATACCAGAGTAGAAGATCTATTTTTAGTAAATCCCAGACATCAGCATAACCGTAATAACCCAAAACCAATTTCCAAGGGAAAGAAACACGTCGAACCGGTTAAAATTCAAGCCCAACAATAAAATTACACAAAATAAACTTTAAAAAGCATCAGTTACATTAAAGCGTTGTAATTTCTATATCAGATTTCTTTCTAATGCTAAAATATAAAGCAATTATATACAGATATCGTCGTTTAAAGGAGATTAAGATGGTATCTATGATGCGGACGAAACGAATGAAGAGTTTCGAAACTCTTCATTCGTCGTAGCGTATTTATGTTAATGTCTTCTATACACATCGACGTTGCATCACTTCGAAATGATATTACAGAAAACGTCATTTGAAATATTGCCAAAAATAAAGAAGGAAGTGCAATTATGAATCACTAAATGAATAGCATAAAACTCCTGCCGAATTTCCTGAAAGACAGCCAATAAAATCCATTTATACATACGTAAAAAGTCATCAGCCAGCAGAAAAACATTAAAATAGTAACTTTTGATGTTTAGGTAAGTTAATGGTGGAAAACGAATATTCTTGCTTTTAAGACCTTTTACCTTTTGGACCATTTGTTCGATTGGTGTCCGAAGGGTCTTTTCATCAACACACCGCTGATCTGCACCCTGGTAGAAATCAAAAATTGCTCGTCGACGCTACTGTTTTCTGATACGCGATCCCCCATGTCGTCGTCTCCATAACAACTTCGCTCAACCGCTGCCGTCGCCGCTCCCTGGTGGAAAAAATCCTGAGACTTTTTTAAAATTTTCTAAAATATTTTAGATCGAAATAGTAATTTCGTTGGTTTTAAAACATTTAGTTACGTGAAAAATTTAATATTTCTAATATTAGATTATGTTCTAGATTTTTGCGTGCCGTTGACAATTATATTTATTTATATTATTTCATGTTAGGGATCTGTGGCCCACCGGCGGTCGAGTGGATAAAACCTCCATTGGCGCCCGGCCGACGGGCCGTCCACGTGGAGTTTTCCGAGTTTTCTTCGTTTTTGTAACGCCTAAATATTGATAGAAGCTGGTTTCTCGTAAGAGTTCCCGCTCGGCAGATCGCCCACGTATCGCGTTGCCGAAATCAAATAAACCAATCTGAATGCACCCAATTTTTTTTCGAATTAAAAATGAGAAAAATTCCAATTGATAAAAATAGCTTAATATGGGTGATAAGCACTAACCTTCCAGAGGTCAAGCGGATGGTCGAGCGGTCAAGGTGGTACACTACCGCTCCGAGAGACCCGGGTTCGAATCCGAACGGGTCGAAAACTCCCCAGGAATTTTTCGGGGATGGTTGGTTCGAATATGTGCCCACCACCCAATAGCCCCCTTGTGGGCATAACCGAACCCATAATGGGCTTGCAAAAAGAAGCCCTCCTAGTTCCCACAGGGCGAAAAGAGTTAAAAAAAAAAAAAAGCAGTAACCTTCCTCGAGCCTGAATTTGTTTATTATAAAATTTTATTGAAAAATTACCAGATCACCAGACAAAAACACAAAATTATCTACAACAAAAAGTATTTTTAAAAACTACGAGTACTTTTTACTTGTAGCATTTTTGTTATACAATTACAATTAGATTAATATACAATTAGATTTTCATGAAAAATCGAGGAAAAATAATTTTTAATACAAAACTTAAAACGGATATTTAATAATCGAAATTAAAATATTCTTTACACAGAATAAAACTGGCAAATGCATTTATTCGTTTATTTATTAATTAAATTCCTTTTTTTTATTTAACGTGTAACAAGCGAATTCAACAATTGAAGTTGTCGTTGTTGCGTAGTTTTGCTCTTGTTATAAAGAAGAGTGCGATTTAGAAAGCGATTCGAGGATGTTTTTTGATGGTGGAGATGATCGACCCCTGCCCCATCCTCCGGGGTAAGAGATTTTTTACATTTCATTACTATTTATTCGGATAAGAAATTCGTTTTAGAAATTAAAGGCTTTAATTAAAGAAAAACTTCCATCTATAATATATAATTAAACCTAATTAAATTAAATGTAAAGATTGCGACTTTACGATTTTTGTGTCTTCCTGTATTGCTGACCGCAATAGATGGCTTTATGAGGCACAGTTCAGGGCCTGGTGTTAAGAAGATAATTTAGGGCTTTTCAATTTACTGTTGTTTAAGACGCAGAGTTCGAATAAAGCCAACTTATGCGCACGCGCTTCCCGTGTAAACTTTGTATACGATGGAAGGCGAAATATCGTTGAGAATTTTTAGAAGGATCTAAAAATATGTTCGATTTCTTGCATAAATACAAAAAAGACATTTAAAATGGAATAGTAGACGCCTTATTCTTCACGTTAAGCCTCAACGGTGGCGAAAAAACAAGAGTAAAAAAGACAAAGGAAATCGGAAATTACCACGATACAGGGGAAAAAAGGCAAATAAAACGATAAGTCAGAAGACAAGCAGCCAGAAGTACCAAATTTCCGGAACTCCTAGCTCTGGAAAAAACACTCGATCCGGAAAAAAAAGAAACGCCGTTCGAGACAGCTGGACGAAACAAATCAGAAAATGTATATAAGTGCAGAAGAATTCAGGAAACTCTTAAAGAAAAACTTTGCGAAACAAATAACTGAGGTTTTGGATGACTCCTCAATCGATACTTTCGTCCTTCTGTTATTGTTGCACTGCGAAAACCGTTTGTGTCGATTGGAACCGAAGAAAAATTTTCAATTGCGCATCAAAAGTCAAAAAGTGCAAACATTATTTCCGGACTTTTCAGGCACTCTTTATTTTTTCCATCATTTATAATTTATGTCTTCGGGTTGGTTGAAAACATACGATGGAGCCATTTCTCCTTATTCAGTGTTCTCATTTTCCTAAAAATATCAAAAAACATTTGGCCGAAATAAACAAATCTAACGGCAAAATTTCAGAAATTTTTAAAATTATCAGGAGATATTAAACTTCAAATTTCGTAAAAAATATCTTGCCTTCGCAGACTGTTATTGATTTTTACATCACGCTATAGGAGAAACCCTTATAGGAGAATTGCTGGCACTGCATCTGCTAATGTGTGCGCATCGTCCACTTTTACATTCGAATCAATGGAAACGTTTGGCTTTGTTCGGTGCCGCCATTAGAGCCGGGCAACGGGCCCCGTGCCTAAAGGTGGTCCGCGCTTCGGGAGTTTAGTTTTTGATTTTTTAATATGACGTAGCGCTCCACAGGAAATGCGTTAATAATATTTAAGAATTAAGTTTCGAAACAAAGATAAGAATTAACTGCTCGTGCAGTGTGACAAGTCGCTATAATTTAGTGCATCTTAATGATCAAACGCGAGTTCGCAAGCCGTTGCTGCGCTTCAGTCGGGGACGAAGTTCTAGTTTAAATTATTTTTTAAATCTTCATTAATTACGTTTCCGTAACATTCTATAACAAAATCTACCGAGTTAAGATTTGATAACGACGATTTATTTTTCGAGATTAACTCAGATAAAAACGGAACAAATAAGATAATAAATAATGGGAATTAATTTAGTTTAGATTAAATGCTTATAACTCTAAATTTGTTATCTAAATTTACAAATATATATATTTTATATAACTAATCCTTTTAATTTTTAACTGTAAAGTTATACAGTCATAATTTTGTATCGCGAGTCAACGTAACTTATGCAATAACGTAATAATGAATCCGCTTCTAATTACAATATACGTACTGTAGTACATTATACGTAAGCAATATATATAAATATACCGATATGTATAAACAGTGTAAATAAAAATAATATATATATATAAATTATTTTCATGTTTGGGCCTTTCGCTCGGTGGGCACTAAAAGGGCCAAAGTTAAATGTGACTATTAGCCTTTATTACTATTGTATTTTTCATTTTCGACTTACAAAAGAGAACTGGTTCAGTAATGTAACTGTGTGATATCTATATAGTTTCATTTTATTCACTCCGAACTTCCTTTGGTGCTTTATTTGTGTAATAAGTGGATTTCTCTATAATGTTATTTGTAGTATTTTACTGTATATTATAAAAGTACCAAAATTAATTGTATCTTATTCGATGATAAAGTGGGGACAGAGCGTTAACATCTTTCCATTATTTTAACTATTCACAAACAAACAATCTTAACAGGTTAACAAATTCCAACAAGCGATTCATTAAAAAGAAATTAAAAGAAAACGCGCGGCGGTCTTAACAGAAATAATTACCATTAATTTAATCAAACAAATCTTTAAAATATTTTAAAATATTAATTAATTTATTTAGTCAATTTCTCTATAAATATAATTTATATAAATTATAATTTAAATAAAGGAATATATTTATTTTAACTAAAGAAAATTCGTTTACTTAATTTATAAATCCAGATGGCGCTTGATAAACCGATTTACAGTCCTATTAAGAATTACTCATTCGCGTTAATTTAATAGAAAAAGTTTGCATTTAATTAAGAATTACGGATATTTATTACTAAGCATTAAAAATACTGTAATAATTTATATATTTCATCGGAGTTTTTCTTAATTAAACTGCGACGGATGGTTACATTACGGGACTGTATTTCGCGACTCGGCGCACGTATATGTGATGAGGCCACCGACGAAGCGTAGGTCGTCATAGTTACCCGATGACGTAGTCGCATTCATTGTGTGTTCGGTTCCGGCCGCCATTACTGTATTCTTGTAACGTCCGTCGTTTGTCGGAAAGAATTAAATTATTTAATGTTTTCAAAATTTACGAAGACGAAGGTGCGCTAATTGTAAGTTACACGATGTATCCTTTGGTTATTCATAGCACGGATATGAAGACTGACGAACTTTTAGATATGATTTCCAGTATCGCTAGAAAAAAGAACAAAATTCGCGGTAATTTAAGAATAGAAGTGCTTCTGGAAGAAACGTACAAGAAAATAGACAAAGAACTTAAACAGAAGCAACTGAAAAGGAAGAGGAAATGGGAAGAGATGAAAATAGAAATGTGCAAGAAGGCGAGGATCGCCATCGAGTCTTGCGTGGACGTGACGTCGACGAAAATTCACGAGGACGACGAGGACGATGACCCTTTCGAACTGAACGGTTTCTTTCAAAGATTGAAAAGTGCAACGCCAAATGGTATGAGAATGTGTTCCAATGAGCCTTTATGATAAATAATTAATGATTAGTAATAATGAAGAATATGGTCCTATACTCAGGATGGACGTGACGATATAAAAAGTCGCTCATGTTCTTACGTCTAATCTGGTTCTTTGCAGTTCCCGATGTGGTAACGGCGTGGGTCCACTGCTCGGTCTCTCGAAAGAGTCGCACAAGACCGGTGGGCAAATTGATTCGGTAAAATTCAGGTTTAAATGTGTGATCCTAACCGAATGTGACCATCCAGTATTTAAATGTTTGTACATATTGTAATTAATTTTGTATATAGATAAAAATATATATAAGTATATAAATTAAAACCTTTGCATGATTTTATAAAAATGTCAAATGTTTTAAAAATTTTTTCAGCAGTTTTACCGTAGGTCGGGAGAATTCGGAATTATTTGGGTTCTGGCCGCCGTTTTTAATATCGGGTCGAGAACGGCGGGGGAAACGTTAACGAAATCGTTTGGTTTTCGTATTTTTGACCCCGATATTAAAAATGTTGCGATGGCGATAAATAATTCTCTCTCTTCCTCTTATGTGTGTACGAATGAACAAATTAATCGTTCTTTTTCAGGTTTTTATTATTATATAATTTTTAGTTGTCACGTATCACTTTTTTTTTTGTTATGCTCGATCACTGTTTTTAAGGTTAGGTTCATTGACCAATGATGCACTCTGATGACCTATCGTACCTTCATGTCCGGTTTGAGACCGAAGATTGCTGCCTGCGGACGGAACGGAACTTGGTATGTTGCAGAACTAAGTTGAATGTTTGCAACATTAATTTTTGCATGTGCGTGGGCAATGTTGTTTGTCTTAACCACATTTGTTTAGGAATTGCCATTTCTATTAAACAGATCTGGTTACACAAACATTTTTGCAACCTCTAACGAGAAGTTTAAGTTTAAAGAAGCGAAAACCATGGTTACTTTATTTATATGTAATTTTAGTTATCATTTATATAAAATTTGTGTAATTTGGAAAAGGAAACACAATGTTTTAGAATCTGACCGGACTTAAAATGCTTTTAACGTGTAGATTTATTGAATTTTTAACACATTTTGAGTGTATTGAAACGTCCTTGGAGTATACTTTAATTTTTGTTCCCCCAAAGTGAATGAACGGTTTTCTTTTATAGAGTTTTTGTGGAATACAACCTATTCCATGAGAAACTGCATAGAAATTGCCGAAAGCCGTTGCTGTTATGAAACGGGAAGTTGTGCTGGATTATCGTTCCTTTTCTTACAGGTATTAATTTTAAGAAGTAAATTAAATAAAGCATCAAGGTTGTGCTTGAGACTTGATATATATATATATATTTTTTTATTTGTAATAAACTAATACATTTCACATACTTTGTTTCTAAAACAATTTATATTTTTAATGTGTATATTAGAAATATAAATTGATAAGAAAAATTTTACAATTATTTTCATACAAATCAAAAGTTTTATATAAAACAGTATCTGGTATGAAGATAATTCAATTTTTAACAACCTGGTTCATTTAATGAAAATTAAAAATTTTATGTTAATGCAGATACATTGATGAATTTATCCCTCACGCAAATTAAACTATTGTGTAAGTTGAAAGTACTTTATGATCACAAATTTTTTCATACTTTTTAAGATTTTAATGACAATTTTTCAAATAATATAAGTGACTATGTATAATGTATACTATATAATATCGTCTAAGTAATGAAAAGTCGCCATTTCAGCATACAATGGAATTAAATCTGATGCAATAAAATTAAAGTTCACGTTCTGCTAAGACATCGCCTGCATGTAGTTGCGTAGAGTTTTCCTAAACTATATTTTGGATGAACTAAGAATTTCTTGGTAAGTATATTTATATCAGTTAAGAAAATGGAATTCTATAAATTTTAAACATTCAAAATATCTAAATTTATAAGAGGTTTTTAATATTAGAAGTAACAATTTTTACATTTTGAGATCTTGAATAAAGTAACAAAAAAATCTACTGTTCACTTACGTATTAGAATTTCTCTTTGGCAAAACGTATATAAATCAAACATTTCTTACACAAGTACAAAACCATATGTTCTTATATAAAGGTTATATGTATATTTGAAACAATTGTTATTGCTTGTTTAAATTATGATACCAATACTATATGCTTATAATTGGATGAAAGAGGCAAATACTAAATTTTATTAGGGTAACATAATCATTTATTTCAAAAAAACTTGTTTAAAAGATAACACATTGTTAGTATATACCGACTATTACCTTACATTAGTAGATACATGATATTAGGATAAAATTACCAAATAGTTGTGAAAATTTGGATCAAATTTACTTTAGGTAGCCAAAATGGTGGTGCTTCGTTTTGTTTCCATTATACCCCGTTCACACCGAGCATTTCGATCTAGATTGTGGCTTAAGTCGGAGAGAGTTCCGCGGTGCGAACGCTCTCGACCGTTTCAATCTCGACTGAAACGAGGCTAAATCGCGATCGACTGGAGAGAGTTCTCGAAACTAGATCCAGTTATAAGAGAGATCCCACAATCCCACGCGCGCGAGAAAATACAAGATGGCTGCTGAACACGTGTCCGGTTATCGACAGAAAAATAAAAAAGACATCTGGAGAGACGATGACATCTGTTTATTATTAGATATACGGCAAGAAAAAGTATTTATTTCTAACCAAAACTTCCATTTTGTTTGTTGGTGTTCGTGACTTACCGCGTAGTTATGTCAATTTTATCATCGCGTGTAATAGCCGGGTTCTTCTCAAGCGAGTTACCTGTGCGAACAGCACGACGTTCCACTGGCGACAGTCACAATCCAGATTGTGGGTAAATCGAGATCGAAGTGAGTCGTGGATTGTGTGCGAACGGGGTATTAGATTAGCTACATTTTTAGTAGACATTTCCTTTTTTTTTTTTTATTATTTTGTTCAAGAACTACCATGAATCAATAACTAGTGATGTTTGGCACTCAGTGGCCTGCTGGCAGCTCCCCTCTGGGAGGAGTCTGTATAAACCATGAACAGTCTGAGCACGGCCATGTTGGCTACCTAAGGTAAATCTAACCAAAATTTGATCTTGAAAATTGTAGAATGAAGTTTTTTTTATTTGGTATGTTTAGAGAAACTAAATTGCAACCATATTTAAAATTTTATATTGCTACAATACAATGTCCATATAGTTTTTATAAAATAGAAGCAATGAAAGTGATTAGTAGTGTTGTTGCTTAAATATGCAAAAATTGTTAAATATTCAACATATATCATAAACTAATAAAAATGATTTAAGCTACTGTAGGCATTTTAAATATTTTGTGTAAATAACTGTTATTTTTGGATAAGTAATTCTCTTCTATAACACATCAGTATTAGAATATATTTTTAAAATTTGGAATTGGTTTTTACATGGTTTAAAATTTAACTTGCTGAAAATTTTAATCTACCATCCCACTGACTGATTTTTAAAAAATTCAGTAGGACAAGCCTTATAATTTTTGACTAAACTTATAGAAAATTTCAGTTTACATAAATACAAAAGAATTTTGAGCAAATATTTTAACATAAATCTGAGTGAGTTACAAACAGAATTTTAAGTAAGTTAGTCGATTTTACAAAATACTAGGAGCTCCATCTGAGACTGTCTTTGACAGTCCAACCACAGAAATGCCAACTACTACAGATTTTCCATAGTTTCTAGGGAAGTCATGAAATTGTGGGCTTGTAGATAATCCTTCAAGAACTATGGGACAAATTTTTATACTTTGAATAAGTGTACTAATGCAATCACATGGTTAAGAGTACTTGGTTCACATAGAATTACCACTTGGTACATTCATACCAATAACATGGAATGGACAGACAGTGAGTGCTTCCAGTTTGCAAATTGTTAAGGGTCTGTCTAAAAATTGTACCTATGCATGACAGTGCTGCATGGTTGTGCTAAAATCTGTCAAAATGATACATACTCATGTCTATAAATGACGTGCTCCTCAGATATGACCCAGCTGTATTGGAAAAGACTGTATAGTGTATGTATGACACAAACAAAATGCTGGATTCTGTTAGTTATACAAATTTTATTCTATTGAATGAGAAGTATAATTTGCTTTTTAAATTTTATCATAAAATATTTTCTTAAAATTATGAATATTTATTAATAATTAACATAAAATGGATTTTTTTTATTTAATTTAGATTAATTTTATAAATTTAATTATTTTTATATATATACATAAAATACTTGGCTTATAGTTGTCATGACTTTTTTTGTCATGATAAAAAATATAAACGACAGCATGGGAAACTGATGAATTGTCATGACATTTTTTTAACAAGTGATGATCATGGAAGTGAAGCCTCTAGTAACATTATTGTCTGAAACAAATTATAAAATTATAATTTGTTCAGAATTATAACTTATTTATTCATAACCCATCTTAATTTTATTCTAGTCTTAAAATTGGAGTGGTGACAACATATCAGAAGTGGGGGTGGAAAGTGCATTGCTCCATCATTCACTCCCAAGGCTTTCCAACCATGACATACAGCCCATTGTTAAGATGGCGCTCTTCTCATGTTGGTATCTCTGTAACCAGATATTTCATGTTTACTTTGTGACATTTTATATATTTCAGTTTATAAAACTTTTTAAACAGTATTAGTTACATATATATATAAACCAACTATAAATAATAATTATAAAATCTAATAAAGAATAATCAATGGTAAGATACAATGAATATTGTTTAAAATAATGAACGAAATAAAGCATTAAAAATAAGCAGGTAATTCTTAATCAACAGATGTGGTATTCTATGAGATGTCAAGAATTAAACTTCAATGTCTTGTAGGGCCTAAAATATTTGACATTCAATTGAAGATTTCAAATATTTTTGATATTACACTCATTTTGAATACTTTGTTTCATTTTTTTCTAAGAAGTCTGCTTGTATTCAACCATTTCTTGTCAATGAAACCAATGCAGCTTGATTTGATGAACTCCAGCATTGAGGAACTATATATATATATCTTAAAAGACAATGAACAAATGGTAGTTTAGACAAGCATTTTAACATACATTAACTAAATAGTATTGTCATTTTAATTAAAAATTAACTTTTTTGTGGAAGAAAAAAATTTATCAAACAAAATAGATTGAAAACCTGCTATTTATTATTCTCAAATCATTTAAACATCAGTTTTTTCTTTAAATTTTTAAATCTTATTGATCAAATATATAGTGGTGATAGCATAAAAGTAATTGGATGCTAAGCTGAGAAGTACCGAATTTGGAGTGTGAAAATATAGAAATTTTCAGCATTCTGTTATAACTTAGTCCATAAGATAAACTTGATGTTTTATTTTTTATGGAATAGAAATCAAATATCAATAATTTTTATAACTTATCTCAATAAACAAAAAGCATGGAATAAGTTTTATTCTGTATATCATTCCTTTATGTTGATACAGAATATTAAGGATAATCATTAACTACTCTGGGCATTTCTTTTTGCAATTGGTACATCATTACAGCTAAAATATGGACCTAACTACATTGATAAAATCGATTAGTAATTTATATTTTATTATTAAAGAGGTTTATGACAATTAAAAAAAATCTCTGTTGAAAATTTATTTTTCTTGTTGACTAATACATTATCAATTCTTTACTGCAAAATAATTTTTCAACTCAAGCTATAGAATTTGTATCATTTGTTCCTTATTTACTGAGATGAATACTACAAACTTAAATTCCTTTGCAAAATTTTGACTAACATTTTAAATCTCATTCAGTTGTGATTTATCAACAACAGAATCACTTAATTTTTAAATAATGTCTATTCTGTGTGTATATTTGTAGAATACATCAATTAGAAATAAATTTCTGTATACAGTTTAGAATTAAAATCGTTAACACTATATGCGTATTGTTGATTCAATTATTTTTTCTTTCGAATTACACGGATCAATTTTAATATAAAGTATTAATTAGTTTTTCTGTTATGAAGATGTTGAACTTTAAAATATGAAAAAACTTCCAACGGTATCTATAGTGTAATTTGTAAATTTATTCAATGACATGATATTAAAGTAATTTATCTGGCAAGAGTTGGTTTCATGTAAGTGATTTTTTTTTTAATAACTTTAAATCAATTTGATGTGTAATAGTTGTTTTATAAGAAAAGAATGAAGAAAATTTTATAACTAATCATATTGATATTATTCTCATACAAATTTTATAAATTTTTAACAAATTGGCAGAAATATGTCCAGAATATAACTATAAAATTTAACTTGCACAGTTGCAAAATACCATACAATCATCTCACGTAACATCCATGATACATTTGGGAAATAGATATTATGCAAACACTATTGTATACTTAGAAAAGCTGTGGTATACTGTAGTATAACTGTAATATATTTGTATTGACTAAATATACAGTAAGTTAAGTAAATGATGCTATATTTGTTGGACCATAACTTTGCTAATTAGTCAAGTTATAGCCCAATCAATCCAGCATCATTTAATGTACACATACAATATTAACTAAAATGTACGCAATTATTCCTGTGTTGTTATTTTTTATGTACTCTAATTTTTTCAAATTGAGGAAATTGAACTTTTTGCAAGATTTTCTGAAACTTTAAATTTTGGAATCTAATTTGGCAATGCTAATTGTACAGGAAACTTTACACTTGGTAGCATGGTTGCTTTGTATATAAACATTAGATCAGTGTTGAGAAGTCCTAAGCTTTCTCCTGTATCATTCACATTTTCCCACCCAATTAGGCAACTTCCTCAAGATTTTTAATGACAAATTTTATGAATTACCAGGATCACAGGCAAATATGTGATTGAATGTTGCTGAATAGAAATTTTGCAGCAAAAAGACTTCGTTTTAAAAATTATGAAAAATTGGTACAACTTTGTCAATATTAATAATTCACTTTAAATATGTACTTAAGAACATTTGACAAAAGTTTTCATATATGAAGACCCCTGAAACTCCTAAATTTTTCATCACGAATCACTTCCAAAGTTTGAGGTTGATATAAGAATTTAAGGAAAATTTCATTAACTAAAACTATAAAATTAAATGAAAAGATTAGTTATTCAAATCATTAAGGAAGAGTGGAAGAAAGTAGAGATATTAAGAAGCAAAAGCTAGTATTTCAAATAAAGAAAATTAAAGACCATTACCTGATTTAGGAAATTAAGCTTATTGAGTGATGTAGAGTTAGAAATGAAAAGATGATTTTGATTACACTTCAAAACAAAAAAAAAATACAAATCAAGAAAATTATCATTTTTGACATAATTCCAGCAACAGTATGATCAAATTTATTGACAAAGATTTATTAGATCCATAATCATTTTTAGAAGAATAAAAGAATAATTTTGTAATCAAATTAATTCAGCTTTATACTTAGAATAATTTTTTTCATGGTTCTAGTGCAGAAAGCTATTGATTGAATGAGAGTGGATTTACTTTTTATAATCCAAATGTTTATTAATACTCTCAATTCTATATTTCAGAAATGTAACTTTTGAATATTGACATT